ATCTATGTAAGTCGAAACAGTGGTGTATAAACGAGTATTCTTCTGAAAACTTGGTTCCACAGTCTGTTTGAAAAGATCGAGATGGACTACGGATAACTGTGAACGTTTTTTTCTGAGTAATCAAAAACGGAAGCGGTACCGTGATTATGCGACACTCTGTCCTGGAGACTAGTAATATAATTTCAAGCTGTTGATAAATGCATATCACAGGATTCTATTTACCCATGGTACTCCAATTGGGATTTATTAGAAAATATTGACTGTCCTTTAAAGCTCAGGTTTTCGAAAAACAAGAGTCAACTCTTAGCCTTGGCTGTTGCCAAGCCGTTAGCAATCCGCACTCTAATGTAAATCTAATTTATATTGAGCTGCTCATATTCCTAAGGCCTAATACCACTCCAATTAGGTGACTTCGAGTTATTCTGGATGAACAAAGTCGCCAGAAGACTTATGACATCTTGCATCCCCACACTTAGATTCACAATGGTTACTATGATTTGTATTAAACGCATGTATGTGTCCAGAATAATCAGCATCAAGTAGCAGCCCACCGGTGTGATGTATTTGGTAAAAGAAAAATAAGTCGAAGCTCTGATTGTGTTGCAATCGTGGCGATTCTGACAAAGCGCTCTTAACCATGCGATCCATTAGAGTTGAAATACAAAAGAAATCATTACAAAATTTTCGTCATAAGATCCGTTAGTATAACCCTTAACTTACATATTGTCTACAAGTCCACTAATAAAAGCCTTAGAAGACTATCGGCGTCCAGAAATTTAGTTTTAAACTCACAAACATTTTAAAATATTTCGATGATCTGTAAATGACTATAACTATCTTCAGTCTCAACAAACTCCATTAATCCATTAATATTTTATACTTTCTCATGCAATGCTCTAAGCACTTACCGAATACCGTTAAAAGCATGAGCCCGGTATCTTCTATAAACCTTTGACAAAAGCATTCAGTATAGTACAAATTATTCTCAATAAGTTAAAATTGATTTATGAATAGATGCTTTTAGTTTTATTTAATAAACCTTTTGAACACGTATAGACCTGATCAAATATGCGTACAAATTAATATTTTTATTAAATCGTTTCAGTTGTTCACGCTTGCCGTGGAATTCCCATTATTAACTATGCTGCTCAGTATCTCATTCCGATCCGCTTTATTTTTCTCGGCGAACATAAACTGAATGAGTATAACCAGATATGTGACGATGGACGCAACCATCTAGAAGTTGAAGAAGCATAACGAAAGAAAGTGAGTACATAGAGTAGTATATATTGTATTTTAAATCTTGCTTAGCTGGACTAATGTATGCTAAGATAGAAACTATTAAAGAGATTCTTAATGAGTGTCCTTAAAGAATTGTGATACATTGATTCCAAAACCTAATAAACATCGAAGGTCGAATGAAAACTTAATTGGTTGATATTAACGAATAATATACTAGGAAGACAGGCTTAGAAAACTGAGAACGCGGCATTCTAAATAAATGTCATTTAATTGGAAAAAATTTACTAAATTTAAAAATCAAAAATAAAACAGAATTTTATCGAAAACATATAGCGAAGATTAAAAATAAGGTGTCGTCCAAGTAGACGTATTTTTTTTTCAAAAACCTTTTTTTGACAGATCCCGCGCGAGTCGTGTCAAACTGTCATGTTTATTTTTTTATTTTATTTTTTTTTTTTTTGTTCTGCATTTCATGATGGAAAGACTTACGCCTGAACAACGTTTACAAATCGGTCAACTTCATTACGATAATTCGTGTCTTTGCTCCACTTATTGTCATTAAATTGGCCTACTGAGTATACTATTCGCAACACTATGTATCACCCACCTTGGGTCTCATTCATTATCTATTATGTCTAATATTCGACATAATAGACCCCGTCCAACAATCAGTGAAGAAAATATAGCAGCTGGGAGCTGAGAGTGTACACGAAAATCGTGGAGATTCGATTCAACGAAGTTCGCAGCAACTCAGACTGACATATGGAATAACTTAGCGCATTTTACGTCGAGATCTTAAATTGAAAGCATACAAAAAACACCTATTGCAAGAACTGAAACCGCTCGATCTTTCTATGAGTTCTTCAAAGGTTCCAAGAAAATCCGACGTTTTTGAGCCAAATTTTGTTCAGCGATAAAGCCCATTTCAGGCAAAATGGCGCATTTGGGACAAAGAGCAACCTGAAGAGATTCAAGAGTTGCAAGTTATCCAAAAACACAACGGTTTGGTGTATTTTGTGGGTCGGTGAAATCATCGGTTCATATTTCTTCAAAAATGATGCCGGTGAGAACGTAACTGTCAATGGTGGCCGTTTTCGCAGCATGATAACCGAATATTTGATAATTATTAATTATAACACGGTGCCACTTCCCACACATCGCATGATTCAATGCATGTATTGAGAGAACACTTCGGTGAGCAGATTTCAGATTCACGTATAATGCCGGTCGATTACCCACCAAGATCGTGTGATATCACACCGTTAGACTTTTTCCTGTGGAGATATGTAAAGTCTAAATTCTATGCGGATAATTCCGCTTCGATACAGTCCTTGGAGCAAAACATCACGCGTGACCATCTTGTCTACATACAAATATCTTCAGTTTCATCAATGAAATACCACTTACACTGCCCAAAAGAGTTAGATTCAAATTGAAGAATTCTTTTGCAGTAATTATATACTGTTGATGTAAAGTTTGCAATGAAAAATCAGTAACCAAATCATTATAACTCTTATTGCCCAGTGGTTTGACGAGTTTGAACATAATACAGCCGATCTGGCGACTCTGAAAATGAGAGACAATAAAAATAAATCAAATATAAAAGAGAAAGAACACATGGAATGAGTTATATATCATTGTCAAGCAACGGATACTTTCTTCTTTTGCAACTAAAATAGAACCCACGAACGCTTTTATCATCGCCGTACTCACCTGTTCCTGACTGTTTTGACTTTGCCAACACAAGATCCAGAGCAATGTCACCACAACCACCAGAAATCCGAGATTTCTAATGATCGTATCATGCTCGCTCAATCGCGCAATTAGCGAAGAAATTACCCAATAGGAGTTTATAGTAAAATAAATGAAGTACATTATCATAAACGCCAATAAAGACCAACCATGACTCTCATTGATTGTCTTAAACATATTATAAATATCGTCATAAAATTTTTTATACACGCGCAACTTCTGTTCATCAGCTTCCTCGCTTGGCAGCAACGTCTGTGGCATAACACGTATAATACGAGTACACCCCTTGGACACTGTCAAGCCGCGTAGATAGTGGCCAAAGACACGACGTATATTTCGTTCACCCATTTCATTGAGTTTGCGGCACAATATAGTGGCGTATTCATTCAGTACCGTTGTGGATAATATAATTTCTAAAATTCGAAATTGCATCGCTAAAGCATTCGGGAATGTATGCCAAACAAGTATGGCACTCTTCAGCGTCAACCCATATATATACGAGTAAATTTTAAATGAAATATTAATCATTATAATAAGCACACTGAGTATTGATGAAAGGCAACTCTCACTACTAAAATCGCTATAGGCGTGCTTACGACCAAATTCTTTATTGAAACGCTTTTCAAACTCCTTGTAAATCTTTATTTTTTCCGCCCGTTTGGAGTCCATAAAGAACGATTCGAGCAGAATCGAAATATGTGTAACCATTTGGGCTATGAAGAGTAAGTTGTACATGAGTCCACCCATGTCGGAGTGTAGATGTAGCTCATGTTGTAATGAGTAAAGTAAGACACATGTAATGTGAATGATCCAATAGCCGGCGTAAAGCTTGTAAATGAGTTGAGATTTGGTAAAGCTACGGCATGCGAAGATTATGCAGCCAAAATTCACAAAAGCTCTTATAAACTCGAAAAGATAAATCTTGAAAGATTTCTTCGTAGCGCGCTTGCCGATAGCCATTTGGATGGACTACTAACTGTTTGTAGCTTAAAAAGATAACTGTGGCAAATGTTAACATATAATACACCAAATACCAAAGTAAATACTACAACTCATTTAATTAGTCAATCAATCAAATGAAAATATTAATGCGTTGACAGTTACAAAGAAATCAAAGAATTTTGGGACGTCTATTTTTGGCAAATCATGGCCTTTCTCTGTAAATTTAGTTTGATAAATAAACATTGCAGACCAATTTTTTTAATACAGAGCCTCCAATATGTATTCAGCAAGGTTTAAGTTATGATTTGCGTAACGATAAGTTAGCTAAAACAAGTTATAGACTAATTCGTCGCAATTGCAGCCAATTCAGCACTCAATAGGTATTTAGCACCTCTTAAATTATGCGCTGTAATACACCAGAGTCGGTGAAATAAGCTATTAATATTAATTAAGCGCTGTTGCAAACAATTCAGCTCGAAAAATATGTATAAGGGTTATCAGAACGTTTCTCTGTAAATTTAATTTAATAGACATTGCAGACCTTTTTTTTAATTCAGCGCCGTCAGCATGCATTCAGCAAGGTTTAAGTTATGATTTGCGTAAAACTAAGTCAGCTAAAACAATAGACTAATTCGACATTTCACCAGCCAATTCAGCACTCAATAGGTATTCAGCACGGCTTAAATTATGTGTTGCGATGCACTAAAGTCGGTGAGATAAGCTATAAAGCAATTCAGTTTTTAAAAAAATTTTATCATATTTTTAAGAATTACTCAATTTGTCTCAACTTGACTCTACAATTGGGGTTCCCGGTCTTAGAAACATTTTTGGCAACGATAAAGTAGACGGGTTGGCTAGGAAGGATCAAGAAGGAACTCAATACACGGCACTGACGAAGTGCCGCCGCAGGTTTATGCCGATTCGAAAACTAGTCATAAATTTTATGACGAAGGTGCAATCCAAATAGCAACTTCGAGAGCGATTTTTCTCCTCTCATTCGGAACGTTTTGAGATCAACAAAGTAAAGTTTGTAACCTTTTATACTGTCCACCAACAGTGTGCGGTCATTCTTCCATGAATTATTTATAGTGAAGATAAATGAAGGAAAATTTACTCGGAGGTTTAATATTTTAAGCATTGCTTTATCTGGAATTAGAGTTTACAACGGAAACGGAATGGATAAAATATCAAGAAGAGTCAACAGTCGGCCATCCTATAAATTTCTAGAGAACGATTTCTAGCGTTACACCATCCATCGATAGAAACATCTACTATATCTACTATATCAAAAAATACCGAAGATTATTGATGAGGCAAACGAGTTTGGGGACGTATGAGAACGATACTTTCTTCAAATGGTCTTTGGGCAAAGTTGAATAAAGCATTGAAAGACCGTGTTATACCAAGAAGCTAAGAAGAAGAGTTCTGATCAGACAAACGTTCGAGTTTACGGACGAATTAAAAAAAAAGCAAAGCATTTTTATGAATGAGATGAAAGTAGACTTTGGAGCAAAGCTGAATAAGAGCTGGAAGGAGCTGGTATACCAAGAAGATCAGAAGAAGAGTTCCG